TTTCTCCTAATCCACAATTTTTATCAACACTAGTAGCTAATTTTCGGCCTTGATATATGTCAAAATTTAGGCAATATCCATTTGATAAAGCCATTACCCATGCTTTATAGCCAAATCTTATTGGTTTGCCGCGAATAAATTGTTTGCACCCATTACGACCAAAGTAAGGAATCATAGATTCGTCGATAGAAATTTGATTTTCAATGGGTGCAAACGTTAAAAACTTTTTATTTAATTTTTCGATGAAAGGTCTAATCTTGGCCAATTTATCATTTTTTGCCAGGTGGTTGTTGTCAGCAGCGTGAAAAAATCTAAATATCTCTTCAAATCTATTGCGTCTCATAGATTTCGTTACTAAAATATTATGTGTATCATCACAGTTTTCCCAATACATTCTTCGCCTTGGTAATGGAACGTAACCACTTAAAATTAAAATTCCCAAGAATACATAAAATTCTTCAACTTCTATTGAAATATTATGATTTTTCGAGGCAGCATAATTTGTTGTTTCTTTAACTAAATACTCTATTATTTCTCTGCTCATAAACAATTAAAAAAATTCAACTGGATTACTGTCAGAAGTGAGTGTTAAAACTGGTAATCTCGGTAGATCGGAATCCGCACGTCATGTTGGTAAATTTATAATGTTCGACCATTTTCGTGGCGTCTTCTTTATTTTCTTTGTTGGATATTGTACATTAAACTCAAATACTTCTTGAAGAACTTCGTTTTCTATGTCTGAACCAACCATTATTATCTGGAGGCAAAATATATATGTCATCCGGTATAAACTCATTATTTTCAATTCTTTCTATTTCCTCCAGAATTTCTGCAGTAGATAGTGGTTTCTTACTAAAAAAAACATTTTCTCAGTATGATATGTCATGTGCCCAACGGGTCGTTAACGACCCATCAAAATGTAACATTATATTTATGGCATATATCAAATTATTTTCATACTAGTATTATTATAATATGTTAGCACAACCTGTGCTTAACTAGATAAAATGACTTTAAATAATAAAATGATTTATTTAATTGTACTTACAAATTTTTCAATGAAGCCATGCTGCGAACGTTATTCGAGTTCTATTTTGATGTGCACTCTACAACCACTACGAGTAAAATAAACAGTTTGCACTAAATAAACTGCTTACTTGCATAGTCAGGAATAAACTTGTCAAGAAACGGCGACTGGCAAATTCGACATATTTGCTTGGAACATCTTTTTGTTAGATGGGTCGTTAACGACCCGTTGGGCATAAATGGGTTAATAAATGCTTTTAGTTATCTGTTAGGATCAGACTAGATTTTAGCATATAGTATAGGCTCCATGATGTTCGAGAGTCAGTTTTTGGGATTCTTGAGCAAAATGAAAAACAGGATCAAGCCATGAGGACTTTTTTATTTACATTTTTAATTTTTTTTCTCGACAACAATTTTTAAATGCTTCGTATAACTTCTCGTAACGGGCTTTTGGTTTTACTGGCACTATATCGTAAGTCACTTTTTCTGCTGCTTCCAAAATTTCTTCTGAAATTTTAATGTCTGTTTCGGATAATTAAAAATCTAAATTTATATTTTTAAAAGAAAGACAGTTTTTGACGGAAAATATTTGTTTTCGCTTTGAAAGCTTTTGTACCAGGAGCCTCTGTACCAGAAGGTCTGATGATTCCTAATAGGAAGAAATCCTGTACGCGAATATACAAAGGCACTATGTGTGAAATCAAATTTTAAACGTCTTTTCTTTTATTTCGATTTACTCTTTATGGCTACAAGAATCATAATTGCCAAGGATTTTTGCTTAGATGAAAAGATATATTGTGGAATGCAACTTTTAGATTCTTTATATCTCTCTTATATATTTTTAGCACCGTCTGTTTTGCCTTGCAATTTATAGAAGGCACAGATTACAGAAAAATCTGAACTTTGGTTTCGTCAATAGAAATATTCGAATTTATACTTTCGTGATTCATATTTTTAAATTTGCGATTTCACAAAACAAGTTTGACAAGCAACAAATTAAAAATTAACTGTCTTTTCATAATAAATTACATTATTATTTCGATAATATTGATTAGAAAAATAAAAAACAGGGATTGAAAAAAACTTTTTTCTGCATCCGTTCCAAAACTTAAAGTTCGGTACGATTTATTAATTCCAAAAGTTACTTTTGGAACGATTTTGAGTATATACTTAGGCGCCCTTAACAATAACATTAACTTGTATTTTTATTATGACAAATAATATAAGATTTGAAAGTTTTTTTCGCTTTTTTCTTTCAAAAAATAGAAAGTGGAAGTCACTATAGTGTATTTTTATGTATGAGAGAGTAATAAAACAATAAATTATGTATGCAAATCCCTAAACTGTTGATACGGGTGACTCAATGAAAAACAGATATTTGTCAACAAGTTTACAGAAGTATATAGGAAAACAATTTTAAATTGAGTATGACCACCAGGTATAAAGGTTGGAGCAGAATAGAATACAATAGTTGTGAGGGTTACTAATCCCTAAATAAGGTTGCCAGTGTCGAAGTGATGGAGGTTAACAGGTACTAATGAATTTGCAAGAAATGTAAGATGTTTATTTTATTGGTTATATATAACCAATAAAAGTTTAATAAGTACCTACCTATTTGCAAAATAAAGTTTAATTCTTTAGATAAAATAAAACGTTTTATTTTATCTGAAATGAGTGCATTCCACGAAGTAAGGGTTTCAACAATCAAACATTTAATTCTTTAATTCCAGAATCTACGACAGTAATTGACTAGATAATTACCTTCTAAACTTATTCCACAGAAAATGTGATAGTGGGTTTTTCCATTTTGTAGGAAGGTCCAAGTGGCGTATTCAAAATTCTTAACAGTTCACTAAAAGTAGTTACTTCAGTTGCAAGGTGCAGTTTATTGTGTATACTAGTGTTATGGAAAATTTGGAAGTGCCGTGTAAACGCCGAAAAATTGGTCCTTTAACAGTTAATGAAAAAACATTAATATTTAATTGTTTTAAATCATTTACAGACAAACGTTTATGTGAAAGTGTTGATGAGACCGTTGAGTTAGTTAGCAGTACACTTGATGTTGGGAAATCTACGATTTACAGAGTTATTAAAGAAGAGAAATGTGGTAGTTTTCAAATGCCACGTAATGCTCCAGGGAAACCAAAATTTCAAATAGAATATCATTTTAAAGAAGGACTTCGACGGAAAGTGCATGAATTCTTCTTTAGACAAGAATTTCCAACATTGGATAAAGTTCTTGTCTCAGTTCGAGATGATAAGGATTACCCAGAAATGAGTCGAATAACGTTATGGAAACTTTTAAAAGAATAGGCTGATAATAGTACACATTGGCAGTTCAGACGGTTTTGTTGAAGGTGGTTTATTAACTTTTGAATCAACTCGTACAGGTGACTACCATGAAGACATGAACGCTGATGTCTTTCAAAAAAAGACCTGCTTTTAAAAACGGTCATACTTCTTTAGAATTCAAATCCTATGATGGCAAGAAGTCACTCTTTGTGAAGATACCCTAATTCAGAGGATTATATTGGTTGGCGTGGCAGATAGAGGCAGACTCAATTTTAAAATGCCAGGAACATCATATATGAAAAATGTCTTACCTGGATTGTTCACCATTCAGTTATCCATAACTAAATTACAATATTTTTTTAGGGGATCGTAAACACTGCTATCCAGTGGCTGCAATTTATATGAGCAGTGTAAGGGCAAAGATACAACTGTTACTTCGATCTAAGCGATTTTATAGATAAAAATACGAAAATGTTGAAAACCGTTGAAAGTAATTAGGTAGTAATGTATAACAGGCGAGATCTGTTACACATTAAATAAACTAGAGGTAATTAGTCAACTAGCCCCTCCCTACAGTAGACTAGCGCGAAGCTTCATACTTTGTTTTCTGTATTGTTAAATTTTATGTATTACTTCAAAATTAAATACCGTAATTTTACTATTTATTTATTATTTTAATTACAAGTGTAATTTTAATAAACACGTGGTAAACAAAAAAAAATTATCTAAAAATAACGAAATCGCTTAAAAGTTAATATTCCTGTTATAGATTTTCATAAAATTGAAAAAGTTTACATGCTGTATAATGGACTCTCCTCATCGCATGAATGGACTCTTTCAACTGTTTACAGCGCTTTATTCAGGCACTTTTGTAGCAGAAGCAGCTCCACGAAATATGCTATTTCGTAGCTTTACTTCCGTGACGTCATATCGTGGAGCTACTTCCGTGACATTCGCCTTAGAATTTTACTCTAGAGAAAAAGTAATACAACGCCAGTATAGAAGCTTCGCTGCAATATGCTCAGAAACCCCATTTCCAAGCTCTTTTGGAACTGAAAAAATAACTATTATTTGGATTTGCAACAGAACAAGGGAGGGTATGAAGAAATAAAAAACCTGATTGTTGAAGAAGTCAAACCGGCTATACAGGTAAAAAGAAAAAGAATTTGGTGATATTCCCTTCGAACCATATACCAATATACAATATAGAAAAAGGGGACAAACTTAAATGTAAAAAACAGCGATAAAATCCTTTAAAATAAGTGGCTAAAACGGTTAACTTTCTGCTACTTTATTATCAAATTGGCTTTCTGCAAGGAAGGTGGACAATAAATTAGTTTTTTAATGCACAAAAAATTTTAAATAAATTTGGAACACGATATTGCTGTACATAATATATTTGTTGATTTTAAACAGTATTTCAACTTAATAAAGAGAAGCTAGTTATAAAAATCTGAGCTTCAAAATGACTTCAAAATATATCTCAGTGACAAAGCAAACGATGTATATACTTAATAACAGCAATGGTCCGTATACAAAATAAATTTTATATGCAATATGCAATAAGAAAATATTTTTTTGCACAGCTTATTCATTAAATGGAATACTACACTTTTAATACTCGATAACTTTTTAGTATTGAAGAAAATAGTATATATAATTGGTTCTTATTTTTGTTACAGGGCTCAACTTTGACTTTGATCGACCAAGTAAAGATGTTCCGAGCATTTCTGATTATGATCGACCCAGCTATTACACAAAATTCAGATATCCTTATGAGAATGTACCAATAGATGATTACGAAGACACAAAGATCAGGGAGCTACCCGATTACGATACGAACCCAGGTAATAAAATTATATCATAGAGTTCCAGTTTTTTTAAGATCTCTGTGGATTAGGTCTCCAAGGTAATAAAAATGAAAATGATGTGTAATAAATTTTCTAGTGTAGTGTTTTTTTAATAATTTATTTTCTTTGACATCTAGCCATACAATATACAGCGTGATAACTATTTTCCAATACAAAATTTTATCATTTTTTGTAAATGGAGCACCCTATATCAGTTTTCTATTTTGTAGATAATTTTGTGTATCTATACAAACATTACAAAATATATAATCTGATTTTATAATCATAAATCAAAATATCTATGTATATAATAATCTATAATATATATAATAGATTAAATAAAACGAATGCCAGTCAAAATTAGTTCAATTTAACAGCTCATCATATTACAAAATAATATTTACCTAACAGATAACCTATATTTATAAAATGCATTATTAACTGTTAATAAATGTTTAATCAGAAAATAACAGAGTCGTAGGAAGATCATCATCATCATCATCATCTTGGTGCTACAGCCCTTAGAGGGCCTCGACCTTCTCAAGCTTTCTACGCCATTCTGTTCTGTCCCTTGCTTGAATTTTCCAGTTGCCGAATCCGATCTTCTCCGCATCTTGTGTTACCCCATCCATCCACCTCAGCTTTGGTCTACCCCGTCGTCTCATTCCCACAGGTTGCGCTGTTAGAATCTTTTTTATCATGTTCGATTCAGGGGCCCGGGCTACATGTCCTGCCCACTGCAGGCGGTTTCGCTTAATTATAGTGGTAATATCTTTACCACCAAACGTATGCTTGTAGATATTCTGCAGTTCGAAGTTATATCTACGCCTCCATATTCCGTTCTCACAGACCGCTCCAAATATCTTGCGTAGCACCTTTCTTTCAAAAATGGATAGAGCGGATTCATCTGTTTTCGTTAGCGTCCATGCCTCTGATCCGTATGTGAGAACGGGGACTATCAGTGTTCTATACAGCCTTATACGAGTTTTTTGAGACAGACGTTTGTTAGCTAAGTACTTTGATAGACCATAATAACACCTGTTTGCAATTATTATTCGCCTTTTTATTTCCTCAGATGTATTATTATTGGGGTTAACCGATGTCCCTAGATATATGAACTCATTGACTGCTTCGAAGTTTTGGTCATTGATGATTAAATTTGTGTCAACATTTCCAGCTCTTGTGTTTGTGTTAGTCGCCATGAATTTGGTTTTATTTTGATTTATATGTAACCCCATTCGTTCTGCTGCTGCTACTAGCTCGGTTAGGATTTCCGCAGTTCTCGCCCTAGTTCTTGTTATAATGTCCACGTCGTCTGCATATGCTAGAATTTGGACTGATCTATTAAATATTGTTCCCCTGCTATCTAAATTAGCGTCTCGTACAACTTTTTCTAAGGCGACATTAAAAAGCTGACACGCCAGCGCATCTCCCTGCCTTAACCCCCTATGTATTTGAAATGGGGTTGACGAGTCGTTTTGAATTTTTACTGCTGATAGCATCTTCGCCATTGTCACTTTTATCAAACGTATGAGTTTTTTTGGAATTCCCAACTCATTCATAGCGTTATAAAGACTTGGTCTTAAGACACTGGTTGTAGGAAGATATGGTGAACAAATAACCAATGACAACGAAATGCGTTTTAGAGATATTTGTGAAACAATGTCTCTCAAAATTATGAATGTATTTTTTCAACATAGAGACATCCACAAATTTACATGGATATAACCTACTAGGAATCTGCGCTCCATAATCGACTATGTAATCCAACGTTAAGCTTTCCAGCTGAAAACAACTGACGTAAGGGTATACCGTGGATCAGAATGTGGATCCGACCATCGTTTACTTATGGCCAACGTGATAAATAACTATTGCAAACACAACAACACTCATGTACAGAATATAGAAAGGAGACCAGAAGTAATATCCCCTAAATATAACCTAGAAAGCTTAAAAGAAGATTCAACGAAATGTCTTTACAAATTACGACTGGCCACAAAATTACAAAATGTGGATCGAGAAAATATATCAACGGAAGAATTATATCAGCAACTTAAAAAATGCATTCATGAGGCTGCAAGTGAAGCTTGGGTTATAAACATAAACATGAAACAAAAAATCAAGAATTGTGGTCGGAGAATATGCAAACGTTAGTCAACAAGAAGAAAACTGCTTATCAGAAATGGATGTCAACGAGAAAAGAGGAAGATAGCAAGATATATCAAAAATTAAATCGAGATGTAAAAACAGAAGTAGTATAAAGTAAAAATGAGATGTGGGATCGAATATGTGCAGAAGTGGATAGGCATATGGGTGGAACAAAACTTGGGTAAGCTTGGAAGGTAATAAAGTATCTCTGGAGGGAAGAAAAGGAAAAATCTAACTTACAGTTAATAAATCTAAAATAGTGGAAACGCCATTATGAGGTCTTACTGTCAGAGAAAAGATGTAAATTCCAAGAGATTGAAATGGAAGAAATATCCGAACACACACAAATAATTGAGATAACAACCGAAGAGTTAAACGATGCCCTCAAAAGATCGGAAAACAGTTAAGCAGCAGGACCTGATGACATCCCAATTAAGTTGGTAAAGTATGAACCAAAAATATTACATGAAATATTGGTTCAACTATTTAATAAATGCTTAAAAGGACAAAATATCCCTGATGCTTGAAATATTGTATACATCATCTCAATATTTAAGAAAGGGGATAACCGCAAATGCTCTAATTATAGGGGAATAACTGTTATCACTGATAAGTAATACAGCTCTTTGGGTAACATAACTGTTACCCAAAGAGCCATGGAACGATCGATGTTAGGTATTTCTCGTAGGGATCGGATCACGAACAAGGAAATAAGATGGAGAACAGGAGTGACAAATGCCATAGAAAGAATTATGATGCTTAAGTGGAACTGGGCGGGGCACATAGCTAGAACCTCGCATAACAGATGGACACAGCGAATAATACAGTGAAGACCAATACAAGAAGCACATCGAAGTAGAGGTCGTCCACCAACAAGATGATCTGATGACATAAAACGGATCGACAAAAATTGGATGCAAACAGCACAAAACAGAAATACATGAAAAAGACTGAGGGAGACCTATATCCAGCAGTGGATAGATCCAGGTTAAATGATGATGAACTGTTATCAGCTCAGTAGGGAGGTTGTGCGGTCGAATAATAAAAGAAAGAATAGAATCAGAATACGAAGACATAGAAGAACAAAATGAATTTCGTACAGGAAGATCGTACACTGATGGTATATTCGTTCTGCAGAAGATAATCGAAAAACGGAATACAAGGAATCTATCTACCCACCTATTGTTTGTAGATTTAGAGAAGGCATACGATACGGTACCTTTGAAAAAACTGTTTCGAACATTGACGAAAGTAGGTCTCAGTAGAGAGTATGTGGATGCTATCGCAAATATATACAAAATGCAAGAAGTGTCGTTAAAGAAGAAAACTTTATATCTGAATTATTTCCAATAACAAAGGATCTTAAACAAGGATGTTTTCTATCTTAGACCTTATTTAAAATATATATTCAATCATCGCTAGAGCAGTGGAGGAAACAAGTATCCGGAATGAGAATAGACATAGGCGGTAGTAAATGTCTAACAACTTTATTTTTTGCAGATCATCAGGTAGTCGTAGCGAATAATAAGAAAGACATTGACTACATGTTTAAATATATGTCAAATACAGAGTATCTTAAAATACTAGATGATGAAGAAGATCCAGAGTTAGAAATTAGAAACACAAAAACATGTAATGAATATAAATATTTCGGATCTATAATATCTAAAGAAGGCACCAAAAATTCGAAAACAGAACACAATAGGGAAAAAAAAGTGGTTAACATTCTAAACTCTTTACTATGGTCTAAAGACATTAGATAAGAAACAAAAGTTTGGCATATCACGAGAAAAGATAGAAAAATAATAGAAGTAGTAGAAATGGATTTTCTAAGGAGAGCGTGTGGTGTATCCAAAAATATTATATTAGGAATGAAGATATTAGAAGGGGGACAAATACTGTACATTACATGCAGACAGAATTATTGAAACGAGACAATAAGTGTGGTATGATCACGTGAAGCGAATGAATGAAGATAGATGGCCAAAGAAAGCTTTAAATTACATACCACTTTAAAGAAGAAGAAGGGGAAGGCCTTCAGAAGACGAACGGATGGACAGAAAACGATGGCGGTCGAAATGCAGAGACGTATTTCGACGGTTATATATATATATATATATATATATATTTATATATATATATATATATATATATATATATATATATATATATATAATAAATGATCTAAATGTTGCCAATAAATTAAAATATTAAGAAGTAAAAGTGGGTCTATCGTCTACCTATGATAATGGGTCTATCAAGAGTTTTTATAGCTGGGTCATTTTTGAACTTCTTCTCCATACTCCATTGTCATTCACTGCTCCATAGATTCGCCTTAGTACTTTTCATTCGAAACATCCTAACACGTTTTTATTATTTTTGTTAAAGTGCAGGTTTCTGAACAAAATATTAGAACTGGGCATATTATTGTTTTGTAGAGTTTTATTTTTGTATTTCTCGATATAATTGTGGAGTTAAGAAGAAATTGAGCCCAAAATAGCATCTTTTGGCCGTGCAAATTCTGCGGTTTATCTCTGCAGTAGTATTATTTTCAGTATTAAGGAGCGTGCCCATGTATACAAATTCGTTCACTGCTTCGATGACGTCGTTTTCTACAACAAGTGGTCTTAGAATTTGTGATTGCGTGCTTATTTTTAGCGAGCAAAAGTACGTGTTAATGAACAGCTGTCAGAAGAAATTGAAATTAGACATGAAGTGAGACACAGACGCGTAACATAAAAACGCTCTTGATGGTAAAATAGCTAGAACAAAGGTAAATGGAGTTCCCATTAACAACATTAGATATGAGGAAGACACTGTGATCTTAGCCGAAAATATTGAAGATCTTCAAAGACTGGTGACTAGAACATCTGAGTATGGAAAAGAGTACGGTCTTACAATGAACGTCAAGCAAGCGAAATTTATAAGAATATCGAAAACTTAAAGAATATTAGACTAGAGATTATAAGACTCAAAGAAGATTATAAGAATATCGACAAATATGCATATCTGCGAACAATAATTAACTCCACAAATGAATACATTCAGGAGGTCAAAATCAAAAAAGAAAAGGCTAGAGCAAATTTCAACGTAATGAAAAGTGCTATGTACAAGAGATTTATAATTGAAACTAAGAGTTTGGTTGGCGAGGTGCTATATTTTTTCGAGTTTGGGGTTTTGAGAAGGATGAATAAAGAAATAGAAATTTTAAATACAACTAAAACAAGAAAATTGAAATATCTCGGACATATTACACGTGGAGAGAAATAAACATTGCTCCAACTGATTTTGCGGTAAACATCTAAGGAAAGAGAAGCATAGGAAGGCATAGAATGTCATGGCTGTGCAACCTGAGAGAGTGGTACGGATGTACATCAAAATAAATGAACTTGATGTAATAAACAGCCATCTTAAAAGTCCGAATCGCTCATGATTGCCGACCTCCGCCGCGGAGATGGCAGTTGCAGAAGAAGAAGAAGCTTATTTTCATATATTTCCTTTTGTTGGAGTTGCATTCTTTTAATGCTACATACCTCTCTCGTACAGCGTTTTCCGTTCTATTAACAATATTGATATCATCAGCATAGGCCAGAATTTGCTCTCATTTATCGTATATCGAACTACTGGTTGTGATTTGTGACATACGTATAACTTTTTCCATGGCCAAATTAAACAGTATACAAGAGAGAGGGTCTCCCTGGTGCAGTCCGTTATTTGTTCTAAAAGGTTTAGATAGTTCCCCATGAAGTCGTACTGAAGTTAGTTTTGTTAAATTTACCAACCGATTTGGTATTTCTAGCTTTTTTATTGCTTTAAACATTGTTCTTATATTTACAGAGTAGGCTGCTTTGTAGTCTATAACTATGTGATGATTATCTATGCATATTCCAGTGTTTTTTCTAAAATTTGGTTTCAGGGTTGCAATCTGCTGAATTGGCGATTTACCACCTCTAAAACTAGTCTGGTATTTTTCTACTATCCGTTCTGCATATGCTGCCATAAGATGACAATAGTACTGTAGAAAATATTTTATTACGCTGTATTTAGAAGCGTAATACCTCTGTGGTTAGAGCATTCAAAGATATCTCCTTTTTTGTGTATGGTGCGAAGTATTCCAATATTCCAATCACTGGGAGGGATTTCTGTATCCATATTTTTTTTATAAGCTGCTGTAATGCCATTATGGTATCATGGTCATCTTATTTATATAGTTAAGCTGGGAGATTATCTATTCCGTGTGATTTGTTTCTGGCTAGTTTTTTAACTGCATCTTTAACTTCAAGAATCGTTGGTGGTTCCTCTTTCCTCTCGTCTGTTTCCTTACCTTATCTCTTTCATCTTCCATGTTTTCTTCGTCTTCCTTATATTAAGTGCCTAGTTAAAGAATTCCACCCATCTATTTAATACACCTTTCCTTGTTGTTAATAGATCGCCATTCTGACATCTGCATTGTCTTGTGGTTGCCTTGAATTATTTTTTGTTCTCTTTGTTCTCCAAATCAGTTCAATGAGGTCAAAAATTTAATGATAGGCAGGAAGACACAGCACTTTGTGTCCATATTCCTCAGCTAAATTATATACTCTATTATATACTCATAAAATGGCTTTTTTCTAAAAAATAATGATTCTCGTTTATATGCATAAAAATTTTATATGATTTGTTCATTTTATATTTTATTAACATGCATGTAAAACTTTAGCCTTATAACTATTTCCAAGAGTTGACATTTAAACATATTAATTGAAAAATGTATGTTTTCATAGTTAACCATTATTGTATTTAAGATTGAATTTGGCGTTTTATCTAGCAACATACTGTAATATGAAGCATTGTCCATAATAATTATCGAAGGCTCTACAGGGTTCTTTACTGCTCTTTACACCAGTATAGAAAGTTATCTTTATTTATTTCTCCATGGTACCTCATTGCCAGCATTAATCATAATATATCTGTAAAGAAATGAAAAGTTTTATAAACTTAATAAATTTAATGCTAATAATAATTATATATAATTATCGAATTGACTGTGACTAATCTTTTACCATCTGTTTTTGTAATTTTGACACTTCTTTTGTGTTCATTTGCTATGAACGACATATTATTCCATTTTGAAAGATCCATGTTTCATCAACGAAAGAACACTTATACAAAGACGTTTCTTTCTCTGCAATATAATTTCATTAAAAAAAAATAAGAATATAGTTCTTTTTACTGCAATATTAGAAAGTTCCATATGACCACATCTTGGTTAATCATTTTCACACAATATATAAGAATAATCAACAAACAAACAAACTTCTTACTATTAAGATTATAAATTATCGACATCACTGTAATCCTGTGTAAAAGTTATTCCAATTGCTTAAATGTCATTGACATTTGAATAATACTGTTTTTGTTTTATCAGGATTGTCTTCATCTTTATTTTCTTTTTCATTTTTAATTCTGTGCTCTAATTCTGCGTTAGATTTTTTAGCTGCATTGTTTGGTCTCTTCTTTGGCTTCTGTTCTTGAAGGTCATTTTTAACTTAGTTGTTGGGGATGCAATGCACTTTATCATAGAACTAATCTTAAAAAAAATAAAACTATTTAAAGTATATGTAGGTACAGATGTACCTTTTACGTTATCTACGTATATAAAAATGACCAAATGAAGACCAAATGAGTCAATATATATTATGCTTTTACCTTAATTTATGTAACCATATCTTTTTTTACTAATTCTCCATTTTTTATCTCCTAAAGAGTTCAAATAATATTCAAAATTTATATTTACAACTAGAAACAGTGCCACCATGCCACTAAATTTATTTTTTATTTTTACAGAGAAATTAAGAAACTATAGGGAAGTTATCGATTGGCAAAGATCACATATTCACCAACACCGTCCAAATCACCCACACTTTAAACCAAAATCTGTCAATCCCAGAGTGCAATATCTACTGGAAAAACTTACCAAGAATGAAAACTATGATATAGATCCCCCAATTTACCTCTTCTAGATGATCGAAGACTGTATCCATTCGACGATGATTTAGGTTTAAATTTTAACAATGAAAAATTTGAAGATCGAAAAGAAAGAATTCTGGATGATCCAATTTTTGGTGCAAATTATAGAAACAATGAGAGATTACTAAGAAACGACGAAGACTCAGAAAAAAATGAAGAACGTTCTCAGACTATGCACCATACTGTTCATGAAAATGACAATGAGAACAAAGAATTTACTAGTAATAGGTTTAGTGGTGTGAAAGTAGCTGAAGATCCGTCAGAATTTGCATATTTACCATCCGATTCCAGATTTTATAAGAAACTAAAAAGTACCACAGACGTTCCTGGTAAGTGATTTTATTTAAAATTTATTCTTAATTTTAAATTATTTTAAATATTTATTTTATTTGTGATTTTACTTTTTTTCTTTTTGTTTAAACTTTGAGTAACTCGATTATAATTCTACATATATGTGATAAGAATATTAATATAATATAATTATTTTTAATAAAGAAAATTTCCAATAAGAATAGATAACTCTTCTGGTATACAACATCTTCCAGGTATTGTGACATTCTACAAAAGTACGAAAGGTTGGTAATTGACAATTATTAAAAGAATGCTAAAAAATGAAGAAATAAAAAAACGGGTGTGGCAGTCCAGTGGGACTGCCGGTAAAAGTTATACTTCTATATAAGCGTTCGCCGTTAAAAATTTGTATGGGAGTCAATCTACACAATCATTACATCTGTACCTAATGCTATAGCTAAGAGAGAGCAGAAAGAGAAAAATAATTAGGTATATTGTGCATCGTTTGCAGTATATAAACATTTGACCTGTAATAAAAGTATAGTACATGAAGGATTGAATCAATATTTTAATGAAAATATATATTTTTATTTTTATATATGTATAAAAGGACTTGCATGCAAAAAAATTTACATCTACTCTGCAGTAAAATTTATTGTTTATTTTGTTACTAATATAAAAATACAATACAATACACTGCAACATAATTCAATATAATAATACAATAAAAATTAAAATGCAGTATTTATAAGTATTTAAAAATGACAATATACATAACTTACTTACGCATATATTTAATTTACCATGATAATAATATTATTAAAAAAAATATTATTAAATATTACATATATTTACAAAAGGAACATTTTTATTCTCGAGAGCGAAATAGAGAGAAAATATATCTTCTGTCTCTCTCTTACCTACATCTTACATACGTAACGATTTTGCCGATTCACTCCCGTACAAATGTCCAACGTCGAACGCGCGTAGATAAGTATAACTTCAAAAACGAATTAAAAAATAATGTGAATGGTAATTTGCACAAAACAGTAACGGGCAACAAACAAATTATGGATGTAAATAAAAAGTGGTAAAATATAAAAAACACATGACAGGAACCAGCTCAAGAAAGTTTGATACAACATAAACCAGAGGCTAAAAAACAGTGGATGACAGAAGAAATACTATTACAAATGGCAGAAAGAAGGAAATATAAAGGAAAAGATCTACAGAAGTATAAAGAAATACAACGAATAATTAAGGAAAAATCAAAACAGCTAAGAAAATTTATTTGATGAAACAATGTAAAGAGATATAAGAACTAGAAGAAAAATTTAATAAAAGAAATACGCATAAAAAATAAACTAAGTGACTTCAATGGGTCGAAATAGGCAGCAAGGACACATAAAAGATAAAAAAGTAGTACTTCTAATAGATTTATCAGAAAAATTAAGACGATGAGAGGAATACGTTAGAGAACTTATCCAAGATGAAAGAGGTAAAATGCAGAATATACAAGAATTAAATCCTTTAGAGAGACAGAAGATCACGATAGATAAAATCAAATATGCTATCAAAAACTCTAAAGACAACAAGGCAGCTGGATTAGATGAAATACCAATAGAACTGTTAAAACTAGTCGAAGAGGATAACCTGCAAGTATTGGCAGATTATTCAATACGGTGTACGATACGGGAATAATAGAACAAGAGTGGCTGAAGTCAGCATTTATATCCATCCCTAAAACACAAGCAGCACAATAGTGCTCTGATTATCGAACACTGAGCCTCTAGAGTTTCAGAGTTACACTTTCAGCCGTAGTTTAGAAGTACTGCTGAAAGTAATACATAAAAAATATACGAAAGGCTAGAGGAGAATATTAACGAGACGCAGTTCGGTTTCAGAAATAGAATGGGTACTCGAGAACGACTATTTGCCATAAATATATTGATTTAGCGATATCGGGATGTAAACTTTGATCTACACGTATGGTTTGTTGACTACGAAAAAGCTTTCGATAAAGTAAGACAGGAAAAACGAATACCAATACTTATGAACAAGCGCATTGACAGTAAAATCATAAATATAGTGCAAGAAATATATTGGAACCAAAGTGCCATAGTTCAAATTAATGGGCAACACTCAGAAGAAATGAAGATCTGTAGAGGAGTTAGACAGGGATGTGTTTAATCGCCAGTTTTGTTTAACCTATATTCTAAAGAAATTTTTTAAAACACGCTTAATAATATAAAAGCGGGAGTTACCGCTAACGAAAAATTAATTAACAACTTACGATATGCAGACGACACTGTGATCACAGCAACGAGTATAGAAGATCTAGTACATGCTAATTACAAAAAGACCACAAAATATACATCACCTATTGACAATCAATGGTAACGTGATAGAACACGTAGAAAAATATTAGTACTTGGGAACTTCGATCAATGAAACCAATGATCATACTGCAGAAATTAACAGGCGAATAGAGATTGCCAGATCAGCATTTATAGAGATGAAGCCAGTCCTAACGTGTAAAAATCTAAATTTGGAGATCAGACTACGTACCATTCGCTGTTATATATTTTCAATATTATTATATGGAGCTGAGATTTTATAATTAAGCAATTTAAAAAGAATCGACGCTTTCGCACTTTGGTTATACGGCAGAGTATTAAAAATATCATGGACTGATACAATTTCAAATACCGAAGTACTGGAAAGGGTTGGTAAACAAACAGAAGTAATCACCTCTATACAAACCAGAAAACTGGAATACCTAGACCACGTGAAGAGGGGACCAAAATATGAAATTTTGAGACTCGTAATACAGGAAAAGATTTAAGGAAGAAGATCTGTTGGCCTAAGGCAGATTCATGGTTGAATAATCTACGTGATTGGTATCAATGCAGACCGATTGATATGTTTAGAGCAGCAAGTTCAAAAATAAAGATAGCCATTATGATAACCAACCACCGTAGGGTGACGACACTCTAAGAAGAAGAAACATATTAAGGTCACACTGGAGCTGTAAAAATTTATGTATCAAGAGTTATGTATCAAAATATACCAGAAATGTTGGATATATTAACAAGCAGAGAAAGGTGTAATATCTGTTTTTAAAAGACAAGACTTACTAGATATTATTTTGTGAAGTCTAAATCATGTTTGTGGTTAGAACACTCTCTAATTATTTTTACTGAATGAAAAATGATTTATAAAGTTTTTGATCTATGCATGATAAAAAAGCCATGTGGGTAGAATTGGGTGGGTTTGAAAGGCTAATAATAAATAATATAATTATTTATATATCTAATTATATTTCCAAGAACATAACCATCTAGTATAATATACAGAAAGTTTAATCTCTATTTTATTATCTATTTGCAGAAACAACAATTAAAATTGAAAAGACAGCCATGTTAAATGAAATACCCACTCCTGCAGTAGCGGATAAGTTGCTGGTGAATTTGAGAAGTGACAAGGATCCCCAAGAAAGCAGAAAAGATGGCATTGAAGTGGTGCCTCTTAAACCAGGAATTGCCGAAGTAGATTCCGCTGGAGTTTATATAATTGCGATAGTTGCAGGAATAAGTGCCGCAGCTACAGTAGGGCTTATAGCAGTGGGGATAGGATGGTACAAGTAAGTACTGGCTACATTTATCTATAGGATGTAAAAATTAAATATTTAATCGTGCTAAAAAAAATCGCTAACAATCACCGTTAGGAACTTTCTAACAGTTATTGATCTGAGAAATGATTAAATTTACATATCTTATATACTAAAAAGCTAAGCCCTTTTCTTGTCCACCACTTTACTCAAAAACCATATTAGATCATTAAAATATTTTTTCGGAATATTATTAGTATTACGTATGAAATTGTCAAGATATACTTTTGGTACACAAATTCACTTCCGGTTTTGAGATGACCGGAAGTTAGAATTTACTTTAAGTTTTAGACCCCACAATGTATATACGGATCGAATCTTATATACTAAAACGCTAAGCCCTTTTCTTGTCCACCACTTTACTCAAAAATCATATTAGATCATTAAAATATTTTTTCGGAATATTATTAGTATTACGTATGAGATTGTCAAGATATACTTTTGGTACAAAAATTCACTTCCGGTTTTGAGATGACCGGAAGTTAGAATTTACTTTAAGTTTTAGACCCCACAATGTATATACGGATCGAAAGGTCTCGTCGAGACGAATCTAAATATGTACTTCCGGTTGCGATCTGATACCGGAAGTGACCCGAAACGCGCATAAAACGTCAAGATAGAGCGAATCTGACACCGGATTCGTGATCGGCATGCAAAATTAACTACTAAATAATATTCATGTTGACATTTGATGAACTAAATTTTATATACTAAAACGCTAAGCCCTTTTCTTGTCCACCACTTTACTCAAAAACCATATTAGATAATAAAAATATTTTTTCGGAATATTATTAGTATTACGTATGAGAGTGTCAAGATATACTTTTGGTACAAAAATTCACTTCCGGTTTTGAGATGACCGGAAGTTAAAATTTACTTTAAGTTTTAGACCCCACAATGTATATACGGATCGAAAGGTCTCGTCGAGACGAATCTAAATACGTACTTCCGGTTGCGATCCGACACCGGAAGTGACCCGAAATCTGACACCGGATTCGTGATCAGCATGCAAAATTAACTGCTAAATGATATCCATGTCGACATTTGATGAACTAAAAATTGCATTTCGGTTTTGAGGTCGACTTCCGGTTTCGTTTTTATTAAAAAGTAAAAAGTAAAAGTACAGAATTCTGTCTTCGGCTTCTATACAACATGTAGCTTCTCCTTAAAATTTTAAAGTTTTTGTTTGTCTTTGTGTATAGTATTTTGTATTGTTATGTCCAAATTTTACATTTATGACATTCTACTATGTCGGATAGGCCACAACTGACGAAATGCCCCTGAAGATGATCTATTGATCGAAAGTACTTGGACAAGATTAAATTATTCACCGTGTTCGATAGTTGCCTTGTATACCTTCAAAGTTTAATTATTCAAACATTCAACCTTATATTAAAATATAAAATAGTCATAATTTTAAAAATTTTTATTTGTTACTAAACTGCGTATATAAATGCAGATGCCAGAAAAATCCAGAAAATGAAAAATATCATTGTTAAAAATGTGTTTGTATAATAATAATATTACACTGGTATAAAACATGATACTTTTAACTGGTAAACAAAACTCTTCTTCGTACCTTAGGCCTTAAACTCTATTGTTTTCTGTCTGATTAAGCAGTATTTTCAATGTTAACTGCCTTTCTCTCCATCTTTAAGGGGGTCTGCCTTGTGGCTTTTACCTTCTAGTTTTCCATCTCTTACTATTCGGGCAAGTCTCTCTCTTTCTTTACATTCTGTTAATGTGTTGGTTCTATTCTCGTCTTCTCTGGAATCCCATTTGACGATATCATGTACTTTACAAATATCTCTGACTTGTGGCTTAAAGATTCTGTCTCTTGTTTTACCTGCTATCGTTCCCAGTGTTTTTATATATGCTGTTTTTCTTTTTTGTATAACACCTGTACCAATTATCAGTTATTTTCTTACTGAACTTAATAAACAGCAAATACTTAAAGCTAAGGACTTACTCTATTCTTCTCCTTCAGTGCCTCATCTTGTCCGGATGTTGGCTATCATCAAGGCTATCATGATTTTGTTGACTGCTTGCAAAACAGCTCCGCGGAGGTTATCCCAAACCCTGGTCGGAGGTTTTTCGACCACGGGATACGACGGCGTCCCGGTCCTCTCCTGTCAAATACTTTAGCCTGCATAACGAACTTACCCTATGGTTTACTCTTATTTTATCTATCAACTAATGCACTACAATTAACATGCAATAGCATCACAACACTATACTTTGCTTTTTACATTAACTTGTTACACATTTACACTTACTCAAATTTGTCCCTATGAGTCTTCTCTTTAGTTCAGTGTTATCAAGAAGCTGGATTGCCTTGACATTCACATAACTATACAACTTCTGCTAGTGACTTGCTGCTGTTTTTTTTATTCCTTCGGTCACAGTTTCCATACCCAGGTCTTGGTGGAGGTTTCTGTCAACATACTCATAGATATACCCATATCTGCTGTTCTTAAGATTTTCTTTGTAATTGTTGTTTCTGCTCTTGTTTCTAAAGCATAGGTTAATATGAGTAATACACAAGTCTTATATTTGGATGTTTTTTCTATTATCCGCATGTTCTTATTCCTCCATATCACGCCTCGTAGGCATTCTGACACGTACGCAGCTTTATTAGCTTGTATACGGGTTCCTTCGGAGATGTTTTCATAATACGATATTTGCGTTCCCAAATAGTTAAACTTCGATACGTGTTCTATTATTTCTTCAGTTATTACAATTTTATATCCCACTGGTTTCTTAGCAATAACGAGAAACTTTGATTTAAGTGCTAATATTTTCAGGTTAAACTTTTTTGCATTAGCCTTCCAAAACTGGACCATTCGTTGTAGTTCATCTTCATTATTTGATATTATTACTGCGTCATCTGCGTAGCATAGAATCTTTATTGTTGTGTTCCCCATTTTTAACCCTGTTCCAGCCTTTTTATTTCTTTTATTTTTATTATCATGTTGAACACTAACGGGCTTAATCTATCATTCTGTCTTATAGCTGATTGAATGATGACTTCCTTTGATTTTTGATTTTTATTTTTTTTTTGTAATCAGAGCTAATATCCTTTATTATCTGTTCTAATGGTGGCTATTATAGTCCCTCTATGTAAAGTATCAATCACATTTTGTAGTCTAACACAATCGAAGGCTTTAGTGGGATCGATAAAACACATAAAAGCAGGTGTATTAAATTCTACTGCTTTCTCTGCTATTTGTTCCATTATTCTTTCAGTAAGTGTCTCAGTCAATTATTTTAAACTGATATCAAGCAACGTAATAGTTCGATAGCATGGTGGGTCATTTTGCCCCTTTTTGTTTATCAAGGTTATACTTGATTTGTTATCGATCAAGGTAACGATCAAGTATAGTGATCAGAGATTGTTACACTTGATTTTCATCTCTTTGGTATGCATTCTATGTTAAGGATCTTTTGAAATAGTTTCGTAATATTTTCTGTTAATGCTCTTTCTCCACATTTTAGTAGTTCATTCGTTATCGTATCCGGACCAGGCGCCTTTCGATCTTTATCATTGTAAAACTATTCTATATTACTTTTTCTATCGTTCTCCTTGTGTACTGTTTATGTTGTTATACTTGCTAATAGTTTTTTTCTTCCCTTTACTATCTTCCACACTTTTCGTTGTGCACCTTATAAATCACATTTCATTTCTTTTAAGAATTTATACCAGTTTTCTCTCTTTAGATTTCTTATTTGTGGGTTCTTATATATATATATATATATATATATATATATATATATATATATATATATATATATATATATATATATATAAGAAATACTGGATATTATTGACTGTCGATATAAACAAATAAAACAGTTTATTAGGGTTGCAGTCAGAATATTGGCCGGGATGTTAAAAAAACACTCTTTTGACTTTTTTGTCGAGCTTTCGGAATGGTTTTATTCCTTTTTCAAGACACTGCAATAAGACAAAAATGTAAATATTTAAAAAATATCACAATTCTTCAGTGTAACTTACTAGTCGTTGAGATTATTTATATAAGCATTTACACTCAACATTTATAACACACATTAAAACATTAAAATATACAATTATTATGGACACAATACATTATAAAATTTTTAAAATTTATTGTAAAAATAGTAGGCAAAACTTAGTTGATAGCATGTTTTACTTGTGTATATTAACTCATGCAGAGAATGGAAAGTAAACACTGTAATTAATATGTAATTAGGTGTAATTGAGGGTGTAATTTCTCTGCATGAGTTAATATACACAAGTAAAACATGCTATCAACTAAGTTTTGCCTACTATTTTTACAATAAATTTTAAAAATTTTATAATGTATTGTGTCCATAATAATTGTATATTTTAATGTTTTAATGTGTGTTATAAATGTTGAGTGTAAATGCTTATATAAATAATCTCAACGACTAGTAAGTTACACTGAAGAATTGTGATATTTTTTAAATATTTACATTTTTGTCTTATTGCAGTGTCTTGAAAAAGGAATAAAACCATTCCGAAAGCTCGACAAAAAAGTCAAAAGAGTGTTTTTTTAACATCCCGGCCAATATTCTGACTGCAACCCTAATAAACTGTTTTATTTGTTTATATATATATATATATATATATATATATATATATATATATATATATATATATATATATACGCGTACGTATATACGCTTTTGGTTTTTCACAGGCGAAAGCTTTAATTTCGATGGTGCACCATAGTTTGCTCTTCCTTTCACCATTTACATAAACCTTCCGTATTTCTATGGTTTCTTTAGCATCAGTTATTATGTTCTTTTTCACTTTTTCAAGTTTTCGCCATCGAGTTTTTTCGTCTTGTAAGGTTTTGATATTTAGTTTTTCCATAATATATTCTGAGGGGATTTTCCCTAAAAACATAATGTACTTTGATCCTAGGTTAGGTGATATTAATGTTCTAAAATCTAATACCTAGGTTTAGGTTATTAAATAATCTATAGTAGTATAATGTTCTTGGGCGTTTGTAAACGTATATTTGTGTTGTAGTTTATGTGGAAAGGATGTGTCAATTATTCTCAAGGTGTTCTGGGCGCAAAAATTAATTCATGCTTCTTCATTTAGATTTATTGGCTCTTCGTTGAAACGTTGTTTTATTCAAAAAGAGACCTGGCGAAATCGAATTCAAATATCAGCCACCGTGCTTCCTAAAACTTGCGAAGCAAACAGCTTGATGAATAAATCGGCAAGGGAATCTAAAATTGCATTCCAAATGCCGTTTATCATGGCCAATATTCGTAGTGAATTCGATTTCTGGTACTCCAAACGAAGTAAAGAAATAAAACACAATGACGGTATTAGATTAGATGCTCTGTATCGAATCAAAATCTAATACCGTCATTGTGTTGTTTTATTCTTTCTAATACTTCGTTCCCTAGTCTCGCGTTTAACATTCCGACTGATAGAATTACAAACAAAGAAGTACGGATGAGGGTTGGTAAAGAAACAGAACTAATTACCGCTATACAAACCAGAAAACTGGAATACCTAGGTCACGTGATGAGGGGACCATAATACGAAATTTTGAGACTCATAATACAGGAAAAGATTCAAGGAAGAAGATCTGTTGCCCGAAGGCAGAATTCATGGTTAAAGAGTCTACGTGATTGGTATCAATCACGGTTTAGAGCAGCAAGTTATAAAATAGAAATAGCCATTATGATTGCCAACCTCCGTAGGGCGACGGAACTCTAAGAAGAAGAAGAAGAACGCGTTTATCGTTCCCCATTCTTGCGTTTCTTTACAAAGCTCTGTGCAGGTATAACACGTTTTTATTCTTTATTTTTCTCTTAGCTGTCTTGATCACATATTTTTAAAGATTTAAAAGTTAAAATAGGAATAACGTCGAAAAAGTGGCCACAAGATTGTCTTTACAAATTGGAAACCATATTTAATTTTGAGCAATTTTATTTTTGATTAAATAAAATATACCTTATTCCCTGCTCGAACTTGATTGTTATAAAAGATCTCCAAAAGATGTCTAATATGTTTATGCTCAAAATGGAAATCGGTTATTGAAGGTTCTTTTCATTTCGTTTCTTTGTTGTCTTGTGAAGCGGCACAGTTGTTTTTGTTCGGTTAATTCGAACTCTAGTTCTTTTGTGAATCTTTCCCAGTAGGTAGTCTCTTTTTGTTTTTGTTATCAACCGATGAGTTTCAGTTCTCCATTCTCTTATACTCTCGGCATGATTCATTTGCTTTTTCTTTAATTTCTTTTTTCTAATTTCATTTTTGTTTAATCTCTAATGTAAACCAATGTGTTTTTGTTGAGCATTTTTTTTCTCATCCAAGGGCTTTTTGGTCATCCTCCATAATATTTTTCTTAAGTTTTTGCTACAGATCAGAAGATGGCAACACGTTGCCAGAAACCAAACAAAATAGCAACTAATCTTAGAGTAGGCCAGGATTGCTTTCAATTAAGAAAAACAGGTGTCACTTTCAAAGTGAATAGTCTAGAAGTATTAGTTCTTCTAGTAAGTCATTATTTAACTTTTTATATTAATTTACTAAAAGTGGTACATTTGTTAAAAATTAAACGCAACGCTTGTCTCGTGAACGTGTCAAAGATTTTTCATCTTATCAAAAACTTCATGAAAACAATAGTTTGATGTCGATATTATAACTGTGCATTTAAAAATAGTTTAGTTCAAAATGTAGTTTCTAAATAGGTTTGAAATAAGGTGATGTTGTAGATCGAGTTGAGAGTATTTTAAATATTTTTGAAAATGTAAAGTGACTTTAAATTTTATTGCATGGACGTTAATGAACTATGTGTATAACTTTTATTTAATAACACTTTAGCGTTATATATTTAGTTCATTTTATTTAAGTTATATCTAATAAAGTTTTTTGTCTAACAATATTCGTTTTAATATTTTTTGACGCGTTATATCTAATAAAGTTTCGTTTTATCTAACAATATTCGTTATAATAGTTTTTGACGCGGTATTAAAAATTTAAGAAAATAGCGAAACGTGGGCTTTTCATTTCATGTTCAGGGGGTTAAAACACTTTCAATAAACTACTTCTTTTTTACAAAATCGGAGTTTCAATGAAAAAAAAAATTATGGATGCCTGAATGCTTCATCGAAGTCTTGATGTACTTAGTTCTATTTTAATTTAATGGTTTGTTTAATGGTAAAAGACCCTTTGTCCCATTGGAGAAAGTAAATAAATAAGTATATTAATTTAAAAAACAATTTTATTTTATTAGATTCTTCAGGCAAATCTTGTAGTTGACTGTTCTCTTAATAGAGCTGCTGCTTTTTCAGGCGTCAAATCTCGTTGAGCTTGAGCTAACAGCTCATAACCAACCATAAACTTTTTAACAGTAGCAGAGCGCAGTAAAGGAGGATAATATAGTCCATGGAATGTCCAATGTGGATTGCACTTTTGTAAATCTTCACCTGTCGGTGCTCCGTGCCAACCCATAGAATATGGGAAGTTACATTTAAATAGATTGTCGTACTTGGCAACTATGGACTGTAAAGTTAAAGCGAGTGCTTCTTTCTGCTTACTATCTATTTCTGAAAATCTAGTTATGTTTCTTTTTGGAAGTACCATTGTCTCAAATGGCCATAGAGCCCAATAAGGTACGACTACCACCCATTCATCATTTTCGTATACGACTCTTTCTTTCTTCTGTATTTCTTTTTGTACATAATCAGCTAGCATAGGTTTTTTATGTTTGGCAAAATATTCACGTAAGTTTTCGTCCTTAACTCTAGCTTCATTTGGAAGAAAAGTGGATGCCCATATTTGACAGTGGGGATGAGGATTGGAACAACCCATCATTGCGCCTCTATTTTCAAAAATTTGTACCCATCTATACTTTTTACCTAAAAATATTAAATGATTAATAAATAAGAAATATATAGATACTAAGATGTATGTATACATAATAAGTTACATTATTACCATAACAATAATTTTCACATATATTATCTAAAGTTTGCAGAATAGACAATAATTACTGTTACACTTATAGCGGTACGTATATTTTTTATCTTGAAAGCTTGTATAACCGTTTTTCTATACCCAAGTACTTGATACGGTAGATTATTCACGTGCTACCAGGTACCCGGCCATGTTTCGGTACACTTCGGTATATTTCGATTGTAGGTTCCGAGAATAACAGACAGTTGGCATTGGTTTGTTTACTTTTCGTTTTAGTGTTCATTTAACTGTGTTTATAAGTTGTTAATATTTTTGTGACTATATGTGTGTTTTATGTTGTAATAATGGCAAGAAGAGAAACGAGTGCTAGCGAGTTTAGAAGGTAAGTTATTACGGGTTATTTTTACAATGTTTTATACTTAGTTCATTTATTCTTTACAATGACGTATAAAGAGCAACAGAAGTGCTTGCAACAATTTATAGACGATTTAGATGAGAAAGTAGACAAATCATCAAAAACTAGGAATAACATCAGGACTAGGTTTCGCAAAGCAAACCAGATGGAGATAAAGCTTCTGACGTTGATGACGTTTTTACTGATAGCAATAATAAGATTGCATTCGATACCGACGACAATACTTATACTGATGAAAATTGTGACGAATTTCAAGAAAGTTCCTTTCAAAGTGATGGAAATAAATAGCTTTTGGAGTATCGGCAAAATCCTACAGTTTGATAATGACAAAACACGTACAGAACGTTTGCAAATGATAAATCTGCAGCTATTACAGATATATTTAATCTTCTCGTAAAATTTATGTCGTAACTGTGTGCCATCGGATTATCTTAACGTGGATGAAGATTAATTTCCTCTTAGATGTAGGACACATTTCACGCAATACGTGCCATTAAAACCTGCCAGGTACGGCGTCAAAGTTTGGTGGATTTATGACGCCAGTAATTTGTATCCACTGGAAAAATATATACTGGAAAAATTCAACTGGACTGGACTGACAAACAACTAGTGATGCCTGCAATTTCTACTCGATCTCTAGTACCAAATGTATAAAGAAATTTTTCATCAAGGACAGGAATTGGTATCAGAGTCATTACCTCTTCGAGATTCCACCGGATGCATCAAACGTGCAAATTGCTACATTTGCATGTATTTAGCAAAAAAGCTGACGGATATTCTCAAGTTAAAGTTGATTTCATGTAATCGAATGAACTATCTTATAAGTAAAGTCGTACCACGAGCCCAACTCAACAATATTGGCAATAACATTTTAAAGTCGTCTACTTTAAAATGCATAATGTATGTCTGAATTGTCAATATAATTGAGTCAGATAAAATTAAATTATTAGAAGAATTTTTCAATATGTAACAAAAAACAAAATTTGTTTAATTTACTGTTTGTATTTTGAGAACGATTTCCGAAGTGGAAATTGAAACGTCAATAAACGTATTTTTATCTTTAATTGTGGCTTATTCCCAGTTAAATAGTAATTAACACTAATACAATAACTCAATAACATGACGAACTTGCAATGTTAGTACACACTAGCATCGGTGTTTTTGAGAATAACGATTTTTTACGATATTCATAAAATTCACCCCCGTGCAAGCAAAGCAAATTTAAATATTGTCCTTGTGTTCCAAAATAAAAAAAAATCATTGCATTATCGAAGACAAGTATTCAAGTTACTATAAACAAACCAACAATTATTGTTATGAATATATTTTGCCATAACTGTGGATTAACTTAACTTTAAGATTTATTTGAGAAGCTGATTTAAGACTTATTGTTTCTGTATTAATATTGCCATGGCTTAAAACACAAACAGCCAACGTATAAAAGTTATGTTAGTTGTTTCTGTCTTCTTTAATCATTTAATTTAATGTATGTTTTAAAAAGTATAATTATAATGCCAAAATTAAAAATAAGATTATCTTCCTACCCAAATCATTGAGTTGGTTTATCCATTCATTTATTACCGCGACTACTTCATCCAACTTCAAATTTGTAAGATAAACATTGGAATGTGGATGATAGCATATCACCCTACAAGTTCCTTTGGCCGCCTTAGTTTGAAAGAGGGGATCATCACTGGGTTCTGGTTCTGGACCTTCTTCCAGTAAAGCTGGAAAATCATTGGTAAATACATATGTAGAAGTGTATTTGGGAGTGACCAGTCCAGAAGCTCTGGTGACACCAGGGCATAGCGGATTAGTGGGATCGAATTGTGGAACGACTTCTACTTGCGGAGTTTCAACTTGGCCACTCCAAGGTCGAAGTGCTCTATGTGGAGATACTAAGATCCATTCTGATTTGAGTGGATTGTATCTGAGATGCTGATGTTCTAAAAGAAATAAAATATTTAAGCAATTTAAACATTTTGTCTAGTATTCAGTGATACAATTTTAAAAATTTGATGTGAGTTAAAATCTTTTTTTCGGCCTTGGTTTAAAACTTTCGGATACGTAATCACATACAAATATATTAGTATTTCTTTATTCAAGATTGTACAGGGAGAACAATGTTTACGTTCAGGGGTTCATCAAAGCGATTTCATTCTAAACCACAAGACATAAACCATGGTTAGAAAGGTGGGCAATAAATAGGTTCATATACAAGGAAATGTCCATTCAAACACTCACATATCAGCGATACTAGTTCCACACAAAACTGTTGTTGGGAGAACTCCGATTTTTTGTAGATCCTTCGGAAAATATCCATGATCTACTTTTATTTTTATTATGGTCGACACTGGATTTCTACTTAGTGTAACAACTTTGTAAAATTTGTCGCAGCCATTGCTGGTTGTAATTAAAAAAAAATACTGTCTGTGTTTTCACCGAACTCAATCCAACGTCAATCGCATTTAAATTTTATATACTGTTTTACATATGCAAGATAGCATGTGTTAAATTCTTCAATGAATATATGTGGGTGTTTCAGTTGGTTTTTAGCTATTGAATACACAATACTATTACCCAATATGTCTGAATGTCTTTTTATCCATACGAATTTAACATTATATGGTAAAGCTAATAATTTTGAATTAAAAACTCTATTCTAAAACGCCATTATATTCGGTTGTTTTTTAAATCATTGTTTCTAAAAATATTTTGTTTTTCTTTTATAAGTACATTCATTTGGATTATCGGATTTCTATATATTTCTATATTTCTAATAAGATTAATATTATGCGCCCATTACTGTCTTTAACAGTCTATAGCATTCTGAATCTGGTTACTTATCTATCTGGTATGGGGTAGTCTTTTGACATTGTGTCCCTATCTATTAATTGTAGATTTTTATTTGTGATTAAGGTATTCCTTAAATGGATAATCCTTATATATTAAAAGTCATCGGAACTTAAAAATTAAATTCGTTGTAATAAAAAAAAGTCCCGGACATCTTTAGGAAAGAGTCTGTATTTTTAAGTTTTTTAGTAATTCTTCTTCTTCAAGTTCCACTCCTATCAGAGATTGGAAATCATTCTGACAATTATAATTTTGTTGGTTACGCGCCTGAATAGTTCAATTGAACTGCATCCAAACCATTTACGGAGATAGCGTAGTCACGAGATTTTAAGTCTTCCTGCACTTCTTCTGCCTTTGATTTTACCCTGCATTATAATACTTAGTAGTTCGTATTTTTCACCTCTCATGATGTGCCCCAAGTATTCCAATTTCCTGATTTTTATGGAATTTAAAACTTCGCATTGTTTTCCTAGTTGTTCGAGAATTTGTTCGTTTGTTTTGCGATCCATCCATGACGTTTTCCAAAATACGTCAGTAACACCACATTTCGAATGCTTCTAGGTTTTAATGTTGGATTTTTTAAGTGTGCCAGCTTTAACCTCATACAAAAGGGTAGAGAAAATATTACATCAAAGCATTCTTATCCGGAGCGATATATTGATATCGCAATTACAATAAAGTTTTCTCATTCTATTAAAAGTTGGCCGTGTAATTTCAATGCGGCATCTTATTTCTTTTGTCTGATCAGTATCTTCTGTGATCCATGCTCCAAGGTATTTGTACGAAGATATCTGTTCAATTTCTGTATTATCTAGTACTAGCTTAACTATTAGATTGTTATCCACAATTCCTGAAAAAAAAAGGTTAACTTTGAAAGTCCTTTGGTGATGAGTCGTTATTTTCGCGTGAGGATTTTCGTCGGCCCAAATGTGTTCTTATGATGGTTTGCTATTCTATTTCTACTGAAGTTAGCCTCGTTGGTAAACAAAATACTTCTAATAAAATTAACATTTCGATTGTTTTCCATTAACAACCAATCACAACATCCAATCCTTTTAGGATAATCTTCAACCAATAATTCTTGAACCGTTGTTAAGTGATAGGGTTTAAGCACCGGACTCTTCAAACTCCTCCAAACCCTTACATGAAGAACATTTAGTTGAGCAGCTATTACCCTTGCAGCAACTTGCGGATAGAATGTACCCGTTTCCCGTAAACGTAGAGCAATGGTCAGAAATAATCGTCTATTAAGTGTATTTTACTGCATAAGGCCTTGCGGCTGCTGCACTATTTCCTTGACATTCACCTACGATATTCCCGATAGTTTATTGAAATCATAATTTAATCTGATTCAACTTACCCACAGTTAAATGCATATCTGCCATTTCCTGAAATATGTAGGCCATTGTGATATCAAAATTTTTAATATTAATCTTATTCACACAATAAATGATAGCTTCAAATTATTAAGTATTATTGATGGAACTATTTGTAATTATTGTATCCGTAGAAACGAATTGTAATTTTATGGCCAACTAGGAAAACACTAGTTTTTCGAAAAAGTTTTAAGAGGCAAAAAAGTTTTAAAAATAATGTGTCAAACTAATGATGCTACAAAATTTATTTAATTTGAACGTACTCAACAGTCGGGGGGATTTAGAGCTGCATATCCCCCTTAAAAATTTTCTGTGCGCTTAGATTTTGTTGTTCCTTTTGTATGAAAAATGATTTCGGAACAGAAATTTATTACAAAATGTCAAGTAGTTTAGAAGATAATGCAAAAGAAAACAATTTTTATTTTGTAACTTCAAAGGGCTGTAACTTTTCTTGTGTACACTTTTGTACTAAGATAAGTTGGATTCAAAAAATTTATTTTTGTCTCCGGAATGCGTGATTTAATTTATGACACACCTTTTTAAAACACCCTGTCTATGGTATTGAATATATCCAAAAGAAGATCAATAGATTCAGTATTCACAATTTTGAGTAATTAGATTGGAACTTCATCAGGCCCGGTAGATTTACCACCTTTAGCTTATTTCATTACATATTCAATTTCTTCTCGTATAATGTCAGGCCCAGTATCATCCTTAAATTCTTTTGGTGCTTCTGTTCTCTCTTTGTCTTAAAAAATTTGTGCTATATATTGTGTCCATCTCTGCATTTTTTTGTTTATATCTATTATAAGTGCACCACTTTCATCTCTTAGTTGCCTAGTTTGAAGTGTTTTTCTCATTCCTGTTAATTCTCTAATTTTTTTATGCATGTTAAAAAAGTCATATTTTTTCACAATTTCCTCTAGTTAGCCAGCAAACTGTTAAAAGATGGGAATATCTAATCTAAATGATAATTAATGATAAACATTTGGATGCCAGAAAACTTATTGACCAATAGTTTAAATACACGTGAATAAACTATTAAAAGGTATAAGAAAAATGGACACAATTTAAAATAAGCTTGATTAACAAAATTAACAAATAATTTGCTAATAAAATTATTGAAAAATACTTATTCAGTGGAACGCAACAAGGCTTGCTACAAGATAGATCAACTATAAAATGCAATGTTTATAGCAAGACAAGCTAGTTTAGAAGCATTTTAATAAAAAAAACCCTGCCTATTTGAGTATTGTAGATAAAAGCCTTTGACTGCGTTAAGGATAATTAAAGAAATTAACACTAACAACAAAACAAAAATTAAAGTCAAGAATGCTCTATCATCTGAAGTAGATATCGATTCTGGAATAATATAAGGAGATAGCTTGAGTCCTCTACTCTCCAACTTAATAATAAACAAAATCATGATAAAGGCAGGACAAGCATACAATCTGGTCAGAAAACAAATGTAGACTACACTATTATGAGAAAAAAGATAACCGACAGCGATGGCACCAATTTAAAACAGAGGCTGAAATATACTATAGAAAAATATCTAAGATGAAATCTTTAGCGATAGTAACTCCAAATGCAAAATTTAAATTACTGAAGAAGTACTCGAACAAGTCTCGAGATTCGGATATCTGGAACTACAAATATACAGCTTTGGAAACCTAAAGGAGCGTGTATAAAAATAAACAAATAAAATAGCTAAAAGATGATAATGTACAGATAATGTAAATAATGTGTAAGATCAATCATTAGCGGAAACAAAAAAAATATTTATAAGATCAGAAATAAGAACATTGACATAAATAATTGCTGTGAAAATATTTGAGACAGAATATGAAATAACCAAATAAGAGACCTATGTAAAATCCAATTGTACAATGAGAAGAACATAGAAAAGGAGAATATTCCCAGCATGCTACAGAAATAGATAGTGAGAGACTAGCCCGAGCAGCAAAAAATTTAAGACCAACAGGCACGAAACCCCCCCCACACTTTTTAAAATACGACTAAAACATTAAACCTTAAGATCAAACAAACTAGGTCTAATATAAAAAAAAAGATAATAAAAATGGAAAAAACGACACAATTAAAGAAAAAGGTATAATGCCGGGTCCAGACCAAGCAGACAAAACGAAAACACAATTCTGAAACAAAAACACGGCGACAAAATTTGTCGTCAAAAGACAAAACAAAATTGAGACAAACTGTCCACACCAGAACAACAAAATATAAAAACAAATCCAGTTGGTGACGTTGTTGTTGTGATTAGTGTTGGTTAACCATATGGCATTTTAATCAAGAAAAAAATCAAACAAGAGATTTATTTTTAGCCGCAAGTTTTTTTTGGCTCTCATCATCATCCCAGGTTGCTAAAAGAAAACCCAAACGTTTTTGGATTAGACCAAGCCTAAAAATGCGAGAAAGTTGTTTGATGAGACAAGTTGAAAAATAAGACAAATTGTTAGTTTAGCTGCGAGCAGATGATATTGGACTAAGTGGTGAAATTCGATCAAGCTTCAAAAATTTTTTAAGAATGTCCATCGAGGATTTTGAGAATCTAATATGCCTTGTTGGTCCTGAAGTTGCAAAAAGACATACTAACTTTAGAAATGCTATGAGTGTAACAGAAAGGTTAGCAATCACTTTAAGATTTTTAGCAACAGGTGATTCCTACTACAGCCTAATGTATCTTTCAAAAGTGTCAAAGCAATAAATATCTGTAATAATACCTGAAGTATGTAAAGCTTTAATTAACAGTCTTAGTGGTTATGTACAGGTATGTTAAACTTTTTTCATTACTATTTTTCTGTTAATATCCCTTAAAATAAACTCCATAGTTATTGATTAAATGTTTAATACAAAAGAAGTTGACGATAGGTACATACTACATGCAAAATAATGACGAGTCTACTTGTTTTTACATTCAAAAAGTTCATCATCAATTTCGTTCGTTTTCTTGATCTAAATGCTGAGAAAGCTCTATGTCAATACTAGGTGGATGTGAAAATAAAGGTTGTGTGTTGGTATTTGGTGGATTTAAGTAACAATTTTGTGGGTCAGCACTGGGTGGATTTGAGTACGAATGTTGCGTGTTGGGTGGATTTGAGTATAAATGTTCAATGCTGGGTGGATTTGAGTATAAATGTGTGTCAATGCTGGGAGGAGTTGAGTATGAACGTGTGTCAATGCTGGGAGGATTTGAGTATGAATGTTGTGTGTCAGTGCTGGGCTGCTGGGTGGATTTGAGTACAAATGTTGTAGGTTGGAGTTGGATGGAGTTGAGTGAACATTTGTGTTGAGACTAAGTAACATAAAAATACACTTTATTTTAATAAAAATTGTACATTATATTTCTTCTACTGCTTAACTCGTTTTGGCACGCACACGCGTCCACACTGCGCCGACAACTTGTCGTCAAATACACAGACAAAACACAGACTTTTTGATCTTTACCGACCTGAGACGGGACCTGAACAAGTTTTCAAATTTGCAAACAAACCAAAATTGTTCTCAACAAATGTTTTCGATTTGTAGCCACTTTGTCGCGAAACATGAATGTTTTTGTTTTGTCTGTTTGGTATGGACCCGGCATAAGGATAAAAAACTAGAGAAAATTAGACAGTTAACCATAAAAACGCTTGAATAAATATTTTATAGGGCATGGAGTTCCAAATTGGTTACATAAAAATAAAAGTAGGTACACAGCCTAATATGTTGTTTTGTATGTATCTTTTGTTTGCATCTTAAATTATTGTTTCCATTTAAGAGGCACCTTTTGGTTGTTAAATTATACTTGTATATTTTATGTACCGCTAAGTTTTAATATTCTAAAATGATTAATTTCGTTATCACAAACTTATATAATATTTAAACACTTCAGCAGAGTGAAGTGGCATGGAAAAAATTGATTTTATCAATATGCTCTCTCTTCTACGGATTTTAATTTTCAAATACATACAAGTCGCATAAACAATACTTAGTTTTCATAGCTAACACATTTCAATGGTGCTTTCATTACATACATATAATATAAATCTCTAATCAATTAAATAATATTTCTTCGTTGCTAATTTTTAATTTGTTTAAAAAACTAAGAATAAAATAGCTTTTATCTGTAATAACTTTTTCTTTTAATACATATTTGCATCTATATGTATACATATTGTTGTAATATTACTTCACAATAAAATACAGATAAATAAAGTCATTTTAAATATTATGATATAAATTCTGATAAACACAAGAAAATATTTGTGAAAGTCGATAAAATATTTAGCAGAACGTAATATTAAAAGACTGCGTTTATTAAATAAGAATAGCAGTATATTATAATATAATATTCACCTTTCATTATAAACTTTTTATATCATATATACCAGATAATGTGTTACTTTATTTTTTCAAAATTGTGGAATTAGGTCTTATCTTTTAAATATTACAGTTTTTAAGCCGGTCCTGAATAACCTAATACCATGGAACAGTTTTTCCTTCGCCGCTAAAATGTTTTATTTTAAATTTCAATGTCAAGTAAAAGTCAGACAGAACTCATCAGATAAGCAAGTTAAATAAATTTTGATAATTCTTACCGTCTCTATTAAATGACATCTTTTCTGTATGCTACAATAAGCTAAAGATCAATAAAACTAAAAAAGCACCATTAACATTAACACGCCGCACTTTTAACCTACAAAAAACAGCCACTGACTAACACAAATGACATGACGTACAAAAATGTGAAGTGCGCTGTAATATTCATGGTCGATAAATTGATAAGTGTAATTGAACAGGGCTGCATCTAGCTTAAGTGCATTTATATCTAATTATTTAAAAATTTAAAATTTGTATTTAATTTAGCTGGATATTATAATTTATTAATATTGAAAACTTATAAAATATATTAGATACATAAAGGGAATAAACTAATTAATAAAAAGTTTCGAAATGAGCTATTCGCTATCCTAGTTCGAAATTTTTGAATTATTTTATTACCTACATAATTATACCTTATACATTAAAGTAAACAAATAACCAAACTCAAGTGATGATCTTAGATAATCTATAATCACCTTTTAATGTAAATTAATCTCGATTGCATCTATCAAACTAATAATGTTATACTTCACTTTTTGTGTAAAAAGTATTTGTAAAAAAAAATTTGGTTTACTGTACAACCTTTGTACATTGTACTGTGCCAATTTGTTAATTAAAAATAAACATCAAATATCACTTATATTTCTTTATGAGATAATATACTTCTTCGTTATTGGGAGACAGACATAATCGACCTTTCCTGTTTTCTTCTCTTTTGGATCTTAGCATCCCTTAATATTATGTTTGATGTTGATTTTCTCACGTCTAGTCTTTTCAAGTGCTCCCAATAACTAAGTTTAGAGACAGGAACAAGGACCTTAAACAAGGACATGTCATATACAAACAACAAGAGGTTCTCAAAATAATCGAAGGATACTATCGAACATTATATAGTCGAGATGAGCACATTCTAGAGGTAGAAGTCCCAGCAACAACAAATCAACCATCAAATAAATTTCTAGTTTTAACCAAACAGGAATTTAAATCAGCGTTAGAAGGTATAAAGAACAAGAAAATACCTGTCGAAGATGACATTGTAAGTGAAATTATACAACTAGGAAGCAAATGCGTCATGAAAGTCTTAAAAACTGCCTATAATAAATGCATCTTTGACAGAATTACATTCGAAAAATGAAATAGTGCCGTTCTGATCATATTGCATAAAAAAGGAGATGTAACCGAAATTGGAAACTACATACCTATGTATCTGCTTGTTACCTCATTTATATATTGTCTTTTGAACGAATGATCACCTGCGGGTAATAAAGTCCTTTATAGATAATGTTCCAGAAAAGAACAAGCTATTGGTATTCTTATTTAAAGAATTTGAAAAAGCATTTAACTTAATTCAGCATTGCTTCATGTTAGGACCTCTTATTGTACGTAGGTTTACAACTTTTCTTTGGAAAATATATACTATCACAACAGCTGCAGTGAAAATGTATTATAGCCATATAAACACATTTACATTGAGAAAGGGTATAGGGAAAGGAAACACTCTCCCAAAATATTAACCGCGTTATTATAGAGCGCTACAAGCAACAATAATATGGGTAAAAATAAATGAAAACTTAAGATAAACAACTTAAGATTTATTGACGCAATAGTTTATACTGTAGACCAGGTAGATTATGCCTAAAAACTTTGGAAAGACATTCAAAGCTTTTATTCACGAGTTGACCCTAAAATTCAGTTTTTCAAAATATGATCAACCTCGTATTGGTCAAAAATATTTTAGCTAGTGCAATTACTACTTTTAATGGCAAGAAGCCACAATCTATGTTTAGAATAAGTTTATTTTTGACAATATTATAAACGTCAAAAATAAACTTATTTTAGATTTAAATTAAAGCTTATTCCCATTAGTAACTGCATTAAGATGCCACAAAAATAGCTTTAAAATAATTTTTACTTATATCATGCAAATTAAACAAGTTTATACTTATAAGTATCTAAGCTGTAAAATTAAATTAGAAAGATAAAATATAACAACAGAGTTAAACCGAAGAGAAGAGGACATGGCATTTTAAGGAAAAGTGAGAGAAGTCTTTAAATAAAATATTCCCATGTACTTGAAAAGGAAGGTCTTTGATCAGTGTGTACTCGTAATTATAACGTGTGGAGCAGAAATAGTGACCCCTACCATAAAAGTAATCAATAACATACAAGTTTTGAATCAAACTGTTAACTTTGGTGTTGCGGACGCAGTTAAAAGATTTACTGCTTTGAAATGGAATTGGAGATATTACCACAGTTAAAGATAAAAGATGTACCAAGAAAATTTTAGAATGAAGACCTAGACACGATGCTTATCGTAATCGAAGACGTCCTTCAACAAGGTGGTCAGAGTACATCAAACGCATCCAGCACAACTGGCTTATAGTATCGAATGCTCTTAGTCTACAAATATCAGTGACAATGGTTTGTTGGATTCTTTAGACTTCTCTATTAGGTTATTTTATCACTAGTAAATGGTCGTTTATCCAAGCCTCCTGTATTTTTCTGATAATTATTGTGAAAAGTTTAAAGGCTTGTATAGGCCCGATTAATATATTTTTATACAGGTCGTTATTTTCTGGAGAAATATATTTTTTCTTCGTGTTTTTAAGATTATCTTGGTTTTTTCCAATTTACCATTTAGTCTTACCGTTTCTTCTTAAATTAATCTGTGGTCGTTTCCTATCGAAAATTTGTTGAGCACTTTAATGTCTTTTATTATTTTTTTGCTCCCTATGATAAAATACATCTCAATTTTGCACTACCACATTGGCTTATCCTTATTCATTAACGACGAGTCATTTTATCGAAAAATAGTTTTTTATTATGGATAACTTTTCCTGATTTAAGAAGTTAAGTAGTATTTGCTCTTGTTTATTTCTGTATCATATAGTCACCCATATTATGGTGTACTATGTTAAAGTAATATGTAATGCTCTTTTTAGGTACTCATTAACATCTTTATTTATATTATCCAAGTGGATGTTACTAAAAGCTTATGTCTGGATTACTTTAAGGTTATACCTTGCATTCATTTTATAGATAAGTAAACAATCCTCGGACTTTGTGTGTGTTTTATATGTTTATGGAATTCTATTACACCATTTTAAGTGTCTTCTTCTTTTCTAAAATATAATAGGTGTCTTGATTTAAGGCTTAATGGGTTTGAGCATGGTTACCCTGGAAATTGGTTGCTGAGGAAATTCATGAGTTCACCCGATTTGTTATTTCTGAAGTAGATCAAAGACCTGCCCGAAATCGCAGAGAAGTATCCAACCTCTTCTTCTTCTTCTTAACATGCCATACACCAAAATGCGTAGGCGACTATCTCATTACTAAAATTCTGTTTTTGGCGGCGTGACACAGCTCGCCTGTATTGTGTATTCCTGTCCATTCTTTAATATTCCGTAACCAGGATAATTGTTTGCGGCTGGCTCCTCTCCTACCTTCGATCTTCCCTTGTAGGATTAACTGTGGTATTTCATATTTTGCTCCTCTCAATATGTGGCCAAGATAACCAATCTTGCGTTTTTTAATTAATTCAAAGAGTTTTCTTTCCACGCCGGCTCTCTTAAGGACGTCATCGTTTCGAACTCTATCCACCCAAGGTATGCGCATCATTCTTCTCAATGACTACATTTCAAATGCATCAAGTTTGTTGATAGATGTTTTTTTCAAAGTCCACGTTTCCATGCCATAAAGCAAGATGGACCATATGTAGCACTTGACCATTCTGTAGCGTATTTCGAAATTTAGGTTTTGATTACATAGGAGCGGTCTGAATTTCACAAAAGCTTGTCTTGCCATTTGTATTCGGGTTTTTATCTCGTCTTGTGGATCCGATTGTTCATTGATTGTTATGCCAAGGTATTTAAAAGTTTTCACGCGTTTTATACGATCGTTACCTATGCATATTATCGGGTTTTCTGGAGGGTTTCTGCTAATGACCATATATTTCGTTTTGAAAATGTTGATTTTAAGGCCATATTTTTTACCTATGCTATTCACCCTATCAAGTAATAACTGCTGATCTTCCAAATTATCAGTTACAATCACTGTGCCGTCCGCATAGTGTAAGTTGTTAATTGGTATGCCGTTCACCTTAATGCCTAATTCCGTGTCTTCTAATGCTTCCGCAAATATATTTTTAACATTTAAATTAAAAAGCATCGGAGAGAGTATGCAGCCTTGGCGGACACCTTTCCGGATTTCAAATTCATCCGTATATTGGTCTTGATCAATCCTCACCTTTGCCATTTGGTTCCAGTATAGATTCTGAATAGTTTTGATCTCCTTCTGGTCAATGTTGGCCCTATGTAGTAGTTCCATCATAATATTATGTTTAACATTGTCAAATGTCTTCTCGTAGTCGATGAAGGTAGGGTAGACATCTTTTCGTTGATCTAAGCAGTTTTGTATTAAGGTGTTCAAACATAAAATTGCCTCTCTTGTTCCTAGTCCTTCCTTAAAACCGAATTGTGTTGACCCGCTAAGTTCTTCTAGTATCTTGTACATTCTTGAGTGTAATATCCTAAGGAAGATTTTCAGCAAGTAACTTATTAAACTGATTAAGCGGTGTTCATTGCATTTTGTGGCATTAGCTGTTTTTGGGATCATCACAAAGGATGACTGCAGCCATTCTCGTGGAATGTAACCAGTATCATAAATTCTATTGAACAGCCTTACCAAGATTTCAATATTCTCTTCGTCGATTAGTTTTATTGCTTCTATATTAATTTTATCTGGACTTATTGCTTTATGCATCTTTGTGGTTCTAACTGCATATTCTATTTCACTTCGCATTATTGATGGCCCTGTTAAGTTTTCGGAAGGAAGTTTGCGCGTTGGTTGTGTTGGTCTTTCGTCATTAAAAAGTCTTTCCACGCCATTGCTATCTCCTCTTCTGACTCTATGTATTCGTTTCTGCCATTGCGTATTCTTGTTCTGTGGTGGCTTTTGTGTATATTCGATATTTCTTTGATCTTCTTCTATAGTCCAAAACTATCTCCTTTTTCCTGCAATTGTTCTATTTCGTTGCACCTTTCCACCATCCAACGTTCTTTTGCTTTCTTAATTTTCTGGCGAATTTTTTTGTGTATCTGTTTGTATTTGTCTTGATTACGTTGTTGTTTATGTTGCCTTCGCTTTTCCATTAGATCCATAATTT